GTTTCTTTTGTCTCGTATTGAAGCACGTTGTCTGAGCAAGCAGCATCCGCAGCATATCAAAATGGTTCGTCGCATGAAATCTGCAAAACAGTAAAATAAAAAAAGAAGAATTAGTTGAGCGAAATAAAAAAAAAATAAAAATAGAGCCACGAGAATGAATTTTTTTTTTCTTTTTTTTTTTTTTTTTTTTGACGTCTAACTCCGGCAAAGTGAGAGCGAGCGAACGAACGAACGAACGAACGTGCGAAAGGCTTAACGTGATAGAAAGACCCGCACGTTTCCGCGTTCATGATTGACACGAATATTCTCACATACTTTCCACAGAATACGAGGACACACGGCAGGCACACACGACACTGCACGAACGAAAAGTAACAAAACCGAAGGAACAGATCGAGGAGAGAAAGGAAGATAGGGACGAGGGGGTTCAGGTTGTAGAGATCGAAGAGATCGAAGAGACCGAAAAGGAGAGGAAGAAGAGAAAGGACGTGGAAGAGACCGAGGAAGAGATCGAAACGGTTATTATTGAAACAGACTCGAGGGGCAGACTGACTCAGAAACAAAAGAAACACGATGATTTAGAAAAACAAGTAGATGAAGAGGAAGAGGAGGAAATTATAGAGAAAGTGAGGAAAGAATTAAAACCTAAACGACCGAAGATTGGTCAGGACGAGGTTGAGCTGGAAGAGATCGAAGAGTTCGAAATTACCAGAGACAAGTCTATGCTTTCGATCGTGTTGAATGTTCCTAGCCAACGGCATCAAGTGGTGCCTTTAGATCGTACCATAGAACAGGCACCTGGGAAACCAGAACTAGAGAAAGCTAAATTAACCATGGACACCATTACGCCGTTGACCGAGCAATTGGTTCCCATCCAGGAGAAAGAAATCGACGATATAACTCGCGTTAAGCCGATCGAACGCAAAGCATCCTTGTCTATTTCACCAGTAGAACCTTATTCTACTACCGAGACAACTGTTCAAGCTTCCACCGGGGAATTCGCCGACACGTTCAAGCCTACGTCGTACGAGGCAACGCCAGGTTTCGTTCCATCCGAGGGTTTGGTCGTCAGCGAGACTTTGACCAACGACGCTGGTCTGTCTACTTTGACCATAGACAAACAGGAAATCAGTCGAACTGCGGACATTAGCGTGACTGTTCAAGAAGCTACCACCGTGTACGAGACCATGGTAAGTCAGAAGGAAGCTCCGGCAGAAGATTTCGTCTCGCCGTTGACGGCCAAAGCGGAAGACACTGTTCTACCTCAAGTAGGGCTGTCAGTCTACGAAGTTCAAGAAGGTCTGTCGGAAGACAAGTTGGAACCATTGAAAACTGTGCCAACGAAACCGAGAGTGAACGTAACAGCGGTCGAGCCACTGGTCGTTGAGGAAGTTCGAGCAGAGGACAAACCAGGAAAGTATTACCCAGAGCTAGTAGTCCCTACGGAAATTGCCACGGAGACTGTGATTCCCCAACGCCAGCGAGTCACGGAGGAAACACACGCACCTGAGAAGGAAGGTGAATACGTGCCAGGAAGATTACCGTCCGGTCAGAGAGCTCAGATCGGAATCTCCTACGGGAACGAAATAGCAATTGTCCAGCAGAACGTTGTTCAGGAGAGCGAAGGGCTGTTTGTTTCTGAAAAGAAAACCGATACGTTCGAGGCTACGTCGAACATGACACTGTTAGAAGGAGTTTCTGTGTCCACGGTCCAAACGCAAGATACGGAAACCCACTTGACGATCGAAGAAACAAAGACGGCTGTGGCTGATTTGAACGTCGTCGAAATCGCATCGGCCATGACTGTGGAGACTGTCCCATCTGAGAAGGAGAAAGAGTATCAACCAGGAGATAAACCAGCTACAAAGACAGCTGAGACGTCGATATCTTCGTTGGAAGTTGGCTCTGTCGCGAGCACACTCGTTCAAGAATCTGAGGGTATCTATCATCCGGACCAGAAGCCAACCAAGGTATTAGCGGAAACTTCGATCAGACCCGAGGAACACGTGATGATATCGGAAATCCAGACAGCGGATTATCCGTCGGATTTCAAGGAGGAATTGAAGTACGTGGAAGAAAGTGGAACCGTGGCTGTGCAACTGACCGAGGCTAAGACGGTGCAAGAGACCATGATCCACGACCGTGAAGCGAAAATGGAAGAAGTAGCGAAACCAGAGGAACGAGTAGTAGAATCTAGTTACGACGCGATTAGAAGTGTAGAGGTATTCCAGACCACGTCCATAGAGAAGGAGGCTGATCTCAAGATCTTCGAGATGCCAGAATCTCATCGTGGAAAGACAGTGCCCGCTCATCCCGTGGTTTCGTTAGAAGTTGAGATGACTCAGCCGGAGGATAATTTGGGCGTTATCAAGGAAGAAGTTCCATCTTCTGGTGTCGCAAAGGTCGAACCAATCGGATTGCAGGGTACTGTAGTAGGAGAGACAATCGTGGCAGAAGACGTGGCACCTGTCGAAAAGGACAAAGCACCTGAATCGAAGATGGCTGAAGTTACAATGAACGAGATAGAGAGCGTGCATACCACTATGGTGATCACTAGTGAAAAAGAAGCCGAGTATACGCAGATTTCTGAAGTTAAGGGAGCGTATGCCAGCACAGAGTTCACCACGAAAGTCGCTCCGGTGTTCGAGGAAGTCAGAACTCATTCGCCAACGGGGGAATACGTGCCTGAAGAGAAACCAGCTTCCGGCGTGGCTGAATCGTCGCACGTTCCACTGGAGAGCGTAACTGTAGCCATGCAACAGGTAGCAGAGAAAGAAGATTTGTACAAAACCGACGTACAACCGGACCAGAAGACAGCGATTGTGGAATTGACCGAACCCAGACCCGGTCCAACTGTCACGGAGATTATTCCTCACGATCGCGAAAACGTTTACAGCCCTGACGCGAGACCACAAGATTACACTGCTCAGATGTTAGTGTCCAGTCACACGGTTGCGTTGAAGTCAGAGACTTTGGCAGAGCAAAGCACCGCTGAGATGAGCATCGACAAACCAAAGTCCGGAAAGGCTATTCCGCAAAGAGACGCTTTGGAGGAATTGATCGTCACGGAGACGACTATCGCTGAAACGGAGAAAACTCGAGAAGCAGATGTACTGCCAACCACTCAGAGTGCCGACGTTGAGATCCAGACGAAGACTGAGAAACTGACAGTGACTGAGGTAACCAGTGTCCAGAAAGAGGAGAAGTTGGAAGTGGAAGAGATACCGAAAGAGCGAAAGGTTACTCTAGGAATCGCCGGAGGTCACGAGGTCGCTGAATTAGAGGAGACAATTCTCGCGAGCAACGTGGATATTCTGAATGAAGAAAAAGCAAAGGAAGAACGTGCTAGTCAGCAACAAAGTGGGCTGGAAATCGTCGAACAAACAGAGGTATCTGTCTCTGAGAAAGAATCTCCTCTTCAGGAGGATGTGAAACCTGACACTAAGAACGTTGAGGTCACTTTTGAAGAAGGTCAAAGTATAGTAGTAGGTATGACGTATCCGGAAGATAAAGAAGGAGTTTTCACTGGAGAGGAGAGACCTAAAGGCGTGGAAGCTACGGTAGACGTCGTCACTCAAGGAGTGGCGTCTAAATTCGAGATCCTGAGTGACATAGATCTGAGCGATTTACCGCGCGATACTGTTCAGGAAATGAAACCAAAGACCACGGTGCTACCTATCGAAGCCGCGGTTGCTGAAGAGGTGCAGACTAGAGAGACAGAAGCGCCATTCAGCGAGATTAAACCTTCCGATAAGAAAGCGAATCTTGAGTTCGTGACTGGTGAAGGTTTGATTGTGTCGGCAGTTACTACCGAAGACAAAGAAAGTCTGCTTCCAAAAGCTGAGAAACCAGAGACCAAATCAGCTAGCTTCGACATTCCGACGCACACTGTAGCTCAAACTAGCGAGACCACCACGACAGATAATATAGGCGAATTTAAACGCGAGGAAGCGCCCGCGGCAACAGCTACGACGGATCATATCACTTTCCACAGTTTAATTGCCTCCGAGACTGCTCCTGGTGATCTGGAGAAGCCTATGGAAGATTTTGTTCAACCAGACAAGAAAGTGGTAGACGTTTCATTCCAGGAAGAGGAAGGAGTCACGGTGATCGAGACGATTGCTTCGGACAAGGAGAGGGAGTACTTCGAGAGGCTGGAGATCCATGGTGAACAAGCGACACCTAGTTTCGATGCTCACAAAGTGGCTCAACTGACAGAGATCAATCCAGCTGCTGTTTCCGGAGACTTGACTGTACCCATACCAACTACAGTCGCAGCCAAAGAAGAACGATTACCATTCGAGAGCATCGTTCAAACCGAGACTATTGTGTCTGAAACAGAGAAAGAGTTCAAAGATAAACCTGTCATCACCAACAAAGCCGAAGTGTCTGTCAGCGAAATCATCAGCGCTACCACCACTACCGAGATCCCAGCCGACAAGGAGGACATTCTTCAGATTCCTGAGAAACCGGCTGAAAAACAGGCTAGCGTTCAGTTTGCTGGACATATAATTGCCGAGAAGACTGAAATCACCGTTGACTCGAGTGCTGGAAACTTGGAAGAGGTGAAGCCAGCTTCCGCATCAGCAGTGCCATCTAGCATCCCCCTGGAAGCTCTAATTAGCTCAGAAACTCAACCAACTGAGACTGAAGGGTCGCTCGACAAGGATAAAGCGCCATTGCGAGCTCTGGCTGACTTGTCCGTGGTGGAGGAACAGAGTGTACAAGTATCAGCTGTGATTTTAGAGGACAAAGAGGAAGAATACAAGTCCAAAGAGTTGCCAGAGATGAAAACCGCTGGAAAGAGTTTGGTTTCTGGCCACGTGGTCGCGGAAACAATCGTGCAAGTCGTAGATTTCAGTACAGGGGAATTTGTCGAAGAAAAACCATCAGGCGCCACTGCAGTCCCAGAACACGTTCCGTTTATCCCGTTGATTGAATCTCAGACTGTCGTGCAGGAAAGTGAGGACAAATTCATACCAGGACAATTGCCAGAGGATAAGAGAGCTGTCGTAGATCTTGAGGAAGGTAGAAAGATCGTGACTGTGTCCCAAGTAACTCCCGCGGACAAAGAATCTTTATACGTCGCTGAAGAACAACCATCTAAACGTGCAGCTTCCGTTGAACTGGACACCACACACGCAATTGCTGAAACTACCACGGTCTCTGTCGAAGATTCGGTGGCAGAAGTGAGGATTGAGAGACCAGACACCAAAAAGGCGCTGCCTAGTCAAGAAGTGTATCAAAGCGTGCAAGTCAGCCAGGACATCGTTCAGGATCAAGAGAACATCTTCGAAGGAAAATTCAAGCCAGATGTTCAGAAGGTGGAAGTTTCGATCGAAGAGGGTAAACGCGTGACCACTGTCATCGAAGTGAGCGCAGCGGATAAAGAGGAGGTGTTAAGAACCGTACAGGAAGAGAGAACGCGATCGGCAGTGCCAGCTATCGTATCTGGTCACGAAGTAGCGGAGAGATCGGAGATCATTCCACACTTGAGTACTGGAGAGATGAACATCGTTAAACCTGCAACAGCAACAGCACAGGTAGGCCAGAAGCCGTTCGAGACGATAGAAACGACGGAACAAATCCTGGCGGAGAAAGAAGTAGACAAGATCGAAGAACTATCGATGCAGAAAACCAGCGCGCATGTCACGATAGACGAGAACAGGTTTATCGCTGTGACTGAAGCAACCACAGCTCAGGATGTTGAAACAGAATTGTCAGCCATGAGGAAACCTCGCGAAGAAATGGCAAAGCCAGCAATGGAGGGCAAAGAAGTCGCCGAACAGATGGAAGTGTGTCTGAAGGAAGGGCTTGGAGATCTTCCCGAAGCGCCGAAAGCAACGGCCTTCGAAGCTCATCTTACTCAAACGACGTTGGAGAGCGTTGACATCAGTGAGACAGTCCCGCAGGAACATGGCGCGATATTCGAGGAGAAGATGAAACTGGACGAACGAAGCGCGAAAGTAAGCTTCGTGGAAGGAAAGAGCGTCATGGTTTCTCAGGTGATCACTCAGGATAAGGAGGACACTATGAAAATACAGAAACGGGAAGAAAGCACTGCTGAGGTGACTCTGACAAGAGTTGGAATGGACGTGGCGCAGAAGGCTCAAGTGTTCGCCGATCAAAGCACCGGAGATGTTCAGCCGTTAGAAAAACACGAGGTGAAAGCTCATCCTAAACAGGATGCCCTGGAACCAATTATCGTCGAAGACATTCCAAGTGCAGAAAGCGAAGGAATATTCGATAAGTACCCAAGAACAGTTTCATCGATCGCAGTGCCTACGTTCGAAGAGGGTCACAGTATATCAGTGACGGAAGTGACATCAGCTGAAGTTGAATCTTTGTTGAAGGAGAAGAAGTTGGATGCTGCTCAGACAGCTAGCAGTACAATCATCACGGAACGTAACATCATCGAGACCACTCAAGTCGAGTCTCAAGTTAATATACCAGATAAGGTGAAG